TCAGCAGATTTCAAATATCTCTCAAAAAGACATTTCTTTTCATAATCATTAATATTATTTTTGTAAATCCGTAAAAAATTATTTTGGCCATTAGAACATTCAGCATCCATAGATTTTATATACCATCCTAAAGCTATCTTTTTATCTTTTTTAACACCTATACCATTTTCATAACAATATCCAAGATTATTTTGACCTCCAGAATTTCCACCCACTGCAGATTTTAAATAACATTGAAATGCATTATTATCATCTTTATTGGTGCCAATACCGTGTTGATAACATCTTCCGAGACTATATTGACCAAGAGGAGAATTATTTTTAGCAGATTTAATATACCATTCAAAAGCTATAATATTATTTATTTCAACACCATAACCACATTCAAAACATTGACCAACTAAAAATTGTCCTAAACCATAATTCCTTTTAGCAGCTTCATAATATAATTGAAAAGCATATTGCATATTTTCTTTAATTCCAATACCGCTAAAATATATATATCCGAGAGAAATTTGTCCAATTATCCAATTAATTTTAATTAATTCATTAACATCAAATAAAAAGGAATCAAAGTCCGATATAATAAGATTTTTTTGAATTGCCTGAGTATAAAATTCAAAAGCTAATTGATAATTAACTTCTGTACCAATACCAAATTGATAAAGGTAACCAATCATACTAGTAAAATAAGATTGATTCTTATAATGAATTAAATGATTGAAAACTTCTATAGGGTCTACCTTATTATCTTTAAAATATTGTTTTAACATATTGGCAACATATCCTGTCATAAAATGAGAATTATATAAATCATAAAAATAATAAAATAAATCTAATATAAATTTATCATTAAATGAATTATTAAATTCGATTGATAAAGATTTTTGAAATATTTTATCATCTTGAATATCTTTATCATTTTGTTTAATGTTAAATTCCGAATATAAATTATTAATCATTTTTGATTTCTTTTTAATAAATTTATGGTATATGAAATTGATTATAAATACTCTTTGAATTCGACTTTTAAATTATTATTTATCGTTAAAAGTAACACTAAAACCATTCACAAGTAAACAATTAATAGTTTCACGAATTATTTATCTAAAGTCAGGTATTGAATATCTCCGATAACTTGCAGTGCCTCAATTTGGACAATACAATGAAGTAAATAATTATGCGATAAGGTATATTCATTTTTTATGCGAATAAAAACTTTTTTATTTTGAGTTAATCATAACCATTTTTCGTCGTGAGTATAAATATGTAGTGCCAAGTGACATCTTTTTTTGAACACAATATTCCTCTTTAAGATTATCGTGT